TTTCCAAATTGACGTGTTTCCATTGAGCAAATTTATTTTCGAAATTCTAATTTGCGCATTTTCATGGTCCACGGGAACGCAGCTTGTGATTAGATTTAGCTACTTTTTATAAAATGATCAATTTAAATGTTAAAAAATGGGTAAATATTAAATCCTATAGCATTTAGTAAAAATTATCGAAATGTAAAAATGATCTAAATAAAATGTTTTAACACTCCGTACGTGAGCTAAATAATGAGTGTTAGTGGGTTTTTTTTGTTACATTTGGCACCTCATATGGAAAAACAGTTGTTGATTAGGCCACCAGCTGCTCGTGTGTGTTTGCTTTTGTTTAGAAAAGGGAAATCTTTATTTTTATTTATAAAAGCCTCTAAAGTTTCCAAAAGTTTTAAGCCTTTTACAGCCGAGAGGCGTTTTTAGACTTTTAATGTTAAGACAAAGTCCTCAGAAAAGCTTGTTTTCCTCCAGCTATCTTGCTAAACATCTGATTTTTAACACAATCCCCATCCATTCCTCCATTGTTGGTCCGGTGGTTGCGCTCATAGGAAACCCCGCCTCTGTGCGTCTCCGATCCGATCCTTCACCTCTCTCTGTGTCTCCAACCTCTGCCCCTCGTCTTTCTTCTTCTCCTGCGCTCCACAATTTGTTTGGCCGCAGTGTGAAATCCAGAGCGACACTTTAAGGTCTTTAGCATCASTCGAGATCAAGCTTATGTCTCTATCAGGAACAAAGATGGACTTGAAGGTGGACAGGAAGCAGWGGATTTAAGGTTGCGAATTGTGCTGTTTTCTATTTTGGTTTTATTTAATTGGAAAAGTTTTGAAGTTGAGCAGGTTGGCCTGAGATGGGAAAGTTTACAACAAAAGATAGAGCGAGTGGGAAATGAAACAGAGGAAAAACAAGGGAGTGGGTTTGACCTTTCGGCTCTGCTTCTCATCTTTTCTTCCTACTTTCATTCCTCACTCTGTCGCTGTTCCTTTGGCTTCAAGTCGCTGAAGAAGACAAAATCTTTAGCTTCTGTTTCTGTAACGCATTTTGAGCTGAGCTCTTGGGTTTGGCAGTGTGGCCCCACGTTCAGCTGCAGTCCAGTATAAACAAGAACACACACATGCAAATTACTGCAGGACCTATGAGCTGTGGGAGGTGTGTGGTCAAGTCCTGCCTGGAGCTCCCACTCTTCTCTTTCATCATTGCCTGCTCTTTCCCTCCATTTTTTCCTCTTTTTTTAAAATCCCACTCATTTTTTTTTTTAGTTTCTTTCCATTTTAATGAAAATATGTTTGATTTTTTTGAGCCACCAGTACGCTGTTTTTTAACAAAAGCTGACATTGTTCCTGTCATCACTGTTCAAAATGATCAGTGAATACTTTAATGAAAAATACACAAGTCAAGCATGGAACACCCGGTGGAGTCAAGCTGTGAAATCTGCAGTGATTTTATGATTA